ACCCTGATTCTACCAAGTGCAGTATTTTTTTCAAACTTGCGTACTATCTCTCAATCAAAGCAGTTATCCATAAAAAACATTTTCAAAAATTTCTCTTTTTTTTTCAGGTTTTGCTAGGAGTTTGTTTTTGAAATTCTGGAATACAAAAAGGAAGAAAACTTGCAAGAAGCTGTCGCAGAGCTAAATCCAGGCTGCACATAATTGTTTGAATTAGCTGCAGTTGTACTGAAGTGTTAGCGTATTGCAGAAGGTTTGCATAAGCGAAATAGTTCGAAAATTACGTTTATCTAATCTATGCTAATCCTTCTTCAGCTTAGACGACGTCCGAAGGTGTTAAGTAATTCCAGAGATTGGAATAACATGGACACTCTAGAATTAGCAGAATGTGCCACGGAGCGATATCACCGACAGCACAAAGAGTGGAGATTTTATCGTTGTGAAAAGTCACACGTTAAGTCATAAAATGGTACATATTTGGTTATGCACTGAAGATTCGCCTCAGACAACTGTCTTATCAACGAATAAACTCGTCACCGTCGCCTAAAGGGTGGGTACCTGGTGCATCCACATATTATAGAGAAGATTAGTGATATAGGGGATTAAGCCGCATTCGCCTGCAGAATATGTAGAAAATAGACTTTTTAAGATGTATTTCAAAATTGTAGGGTAATAATGTAACAAAAGAAAAACATCTTTTTTTCTAAGCTCCCACCCCTGGTGTCTCATTTTTTCTACACCTTTTGATGAAAAAATCTACCAAACATGACAGAAAAGTGCTCCAGCTTTCATTAACGTGTATTATCAGTAGACAATCAATCAATGGGAAGTAACAATGGCTTTATCTATACAGAAGCCTGATAGGGTCCTTTTCAAAAAATTAGTTTTAATCCGTGCAGTCTCATGATATTATACTACGAGTAGGCAAAATCGTACTACTATTGTCAGAAGCAAATTTATATAAGTCAAAAAACAGATTTCTTTCACAGACGAAAGATAACATTATTCAAATTTGAGCATTTTCATCTCTTTCTCAAGCATATTATAGTGATAGCAATGCGATTGACCAAGCGGACGAGAACCAACTGAAGAGATCTGGTTGATGTTATTACTAGCTATATTAGCATCTAATGCGTCATGATGATCAACAGGTTCTAG